AACTCCCTAAACGAATACCTCACAATGTAACTTATGTGCTTCTTCCTAATGATTATTGTTATGTGGGTGCAGCTTCTATTTATTTAATTTATCCAAATGGACTCGTAAATATGAACGTTTGTTTTTTAAATACTTACATATGTACTTTGTTTTTACTTAAATGTATACTGAGTTAATTACTATATAGTTTGCCGTTTTGACTTATCCCATATCGTGCATAGACATGATCTGTGGACAAATAAAATATACATATATCTATCCACTACCAAAGATAAAACATAATGTCAAGTTTTCGAAATTTTTCGGGATGACTTCCTCGCCAGGAGACGCGGGAAGTAAGATACGGGAATTGATTTCTATGATCCACCCGCCACACCTAACTTTTTTTTTGGGGGTACTTATTCGATGAATGTCGTTGCCAATAAAACAATTGATCTAAATTTCAAATATCGAACTGTTTTGGAATTGTGCTTTTTTGTTCATGACAAAAATTTTAACAGAAAACTGGATCTGTTCAGCAGAGAGCCTCAATAAAATATCTGCAGAAAATTGCCCGCTCAAGTCCGCCGAGATATTGTGGCAACTGTTGCAGCTTATACAGTTTTCTTATGATTTAGTCAAACTATGGTCGAGATTTAAATTTGGAAAGACATCTTACGAATACAAGCATGTTGGTGGTTCAACTTTAACAATAACAGCTGATCAAAGCATTAAAGTACCTGATACGATTGTACATAGATGGACACGTAGCATTATAGGAGCTATCTGCATAATTGCTCTTAAAATGGCGACATGTTCTGAAAAAGGGAAAGTTAACAAGTATTATGTCCTGCATTGCTATGGTTGTCATTTACCAAGCAAGCTTTTGATCAGTAGATTACCTACCGTATTCACCTGATTTGACCTACCGTGGTTTCTATTCATCTGGCATTTTTTAAAACCATTACATTAGTCAATTTCTTCAACTTATATTATTTTTACTTATTCTTTGAGAGGATGGCTATAAGAACAATCCAATGAAATTGTATTATCAAGTAGTTATACGGATATAAGAAACGGCTGTATAGTATCACATCTTCTGACTGAAAGGTATCCCCAGTGAAATTGGTCGATTGATTTCAATATATCATTTCTTTTTTGATGGTGGAATTGCATATGTTGAATCTCAATGAGTGTGAGGACGGTTTTGTTGATATTCGCTGAAAAAGAAAATTAATACCCCCAGAAAAAAAGAACTGTGGGTACAAATCCAGCGACCTAGATTGTCTTAATCAGCGATGTAGGTTTTAGCGAAGCGTGTTTTCAATTGAATTCAATTAAATTTCCAGCGATACGTCCATAAAATTTCAACAATAGCAAAACCGATTGAAGGGTTACTCAAAAACGATCTGAAAAAACTCGGTATCTTGAAATCGAAGGATTACCTTACCTACATACATTTCTATTAATTTTTCTTAGTATCCCCTTGAATCACCCCTTGTTGATAGGTCCTTCATTAACACCCTGTATTTCGTGGATCGGAGTATATTATGACTCGCACTGTAGCTAGGCTAGCTTTCCATCGTATATTCTTGTAATAAAGTGTTCATATTAATCCTGTACTATTCCGCTGAACATCCAGGGCTTTTGTCTGAACTCGTCAGTCTTCAAGTTTACGACAGCTAGGCACCGCCATAAAAGTTTGTCTCATATTTCAGAGAAAGTTGGAGCGAGGAGGCGGTCACTACAAATATGATGTTAGTGGAATAAAAAGATTGATGGATAACTGCAAAGTAACGTAATATTTGAATAAGTACAGTCAGTTTTGACTCAGAAACTTTGCATGTCAATTATGGATTATCAGAGAAAGCATGTATCTTTGTCCGGAAAGAACACAGACTAGCTGTATTAAAGAAAAAATTTCTGGAGGAATACATGAGCCAAGGATTTATTTAAGTAAATGACTTAAAAACCAAAGCGCACTTTTAAAGATCTTATCTTTAATAAAGTTGGAGTATATGATTTCGAACATGCATGTTACAATATTAGTTGTGGATGAGGAAAAAGTTGAATACCCCGAAGTTTCAAGTTCAAGTTTTTCGAACGATGTTTAGTTTTCTGGAGAACATCACTTTTTCTCGTCTGGATAAGGATAATGATAATCCAAAAATAAAATCGCCTAACATTGTTTGTGTATCAAATGATAAATGACTACACCACGCTAATCTATCGTTTCGAGACTGTAAAGACCTCCAAAGCTCGTTTTGGGATCGAATCAACTGGTTGACATTGAATTGTATTTCTATTTACAGTGGATGGCTGCTTTATTCTCGAGGATTTGCACTTCCTTGGAAACTTTTAGGATTAAAGGCGTATTTCTGGCGGAATGGACCATGCTAGAGGGTCGAGTGGCTTCCGTTAGTTGGCGTATATTGCGTGGCACTGTTTACTAAGGTTCGACTGAAGCTTTGGCCACATTCAGCCAAAAAATAAACTAACAATACTTATTTTTTCGTTAATTGTCCTTCCTGAGACCAAACCTAGACGATGCTGAGGATTGCCATAAAGCATGAAACAGCTGTACGCGGTTGGCCGCCTGTGATTGGACAGAAAATATCACTATTATTAGTTTTTCAATGGCGAGTAGATCACAAATGTACTGTATTGCCAGAATCGACGGCAGTTAGCGGTCCCAGTGGTGATTCGGTTGTCAAACGAGAATTGAAATACTTTGCAGGTCCAACGGATATCTTCCGTTCACTCTCGCAGTTGTTGATTCTGGTAATAGATGTCTTTTTGAGCTGTCTTATTTCAGTAGACCTGATACCTTAGATGGATGATAGGTTCTGTGCTTTCGTCTGCTGTCCTACCTGAGGTCAAGCCTAGACATGCTCAGGATTGCCAAAAAGCATGAAACAGCCGTTTGGCCATTCGTGGCCGGACGGACGAACGCAGTATTATTAGTTCTCAATGGCGAGTAGACCAAGTAGTCCAACTTATCGATGACTCTTTAAGCTCTTCGTAGCAGCCGCTGTGCCCTGGCATTTAGGCTTCTGCCTGTGCTGCTGCTACGGTATAAAAAAAGAGTAGACCACATGTACTATATCACCAGAATCGACGGCATCTAGCGGTTGCAGTGGTGGACTCGGCTGTCAAACGGGAACTGAGATACTTTACATTACCAACAGGCACATTAAACTGTCTTATTTCGACAAAAACTACACCTTCGGATTTACATTCGGCCTTCTGTCAAAAAAGAAGAAAGGTTTCGTCTAAGGCTGATGGTTTTGCAGAAGGCCGACGGTTAAGAAAAAGAGAGAAGTTTTGCGATAATATTGTGTTATATCTAGTAAACAGCAACTTGGGAGAAAGGAAAAATGGTCGCTGCCGGGTTTCAAACCCGCATCTCCTCCATTCCGTATTGCCGACCTAACCAGTTGGTCTACAGCATCAGCTGCCGACCAACCCTCAGGATCGACTGTCAGGGATAAATTCTACCCACGCCACTGTTCCCTTGTTCTTCCAAGCAGCAGAATACCCCATTTTTCCTTACTCTAAGTTGTTGTTCACTAAACATATTTGCTGTTGAGGCTGCGCTCATCCAAAAAATGTATACAGATTGTGTAGACTTGATCAGCGAATTTAGGAATGATTGAAACGCTGTTCTGAAGGTGCTAAAGAACGTTCACATATACGGATTCAGACCATTCTTTTATAGTATATCATACAAATCCAATTGCTCTTGAGGGATATAAAATATAAATGTTTTCGAAAACTCTTAATTCCTTTTAAAGGCGATTTTTCATGTTTTCTGCGCAGTCAGATAGATCCTTCCCAAATAAGAAGATTGATTTAGGGCCAATTTCACCAACAACAGTCCGTTATTCTCCACCTATAGGGTAACAGCCCGTCAAATACAGCGAATGAGCTTCAAGTTCCAATCAACAAATTCTAGCAACCAATAGTTATGAAATGTTGAAAACAAAATATTGTCAAAGTATGAGATGACATCTTGTCATTGAATCATCACCAGCTTATTGGATACTAAGAAATTACATATAATTCAGTCAAAATTTAAACAGATGTTTGATTTTTGAATAAAATTCATGTTTTAATTACCATTGTTGATTTTTTATTCATGATAGTATTATTTTCTTCAATTAATATGCGATTTTACTGTTTCAAGATCATGTACTGGCTGTTTTTTCCTATAAACCTCTTGCAGATAGCCATTAAGCACCTACTTGATGACTGGCTCTACCAAAAAGTTCATAGATATTGCTCGATTCCAAACATTCATTCATTTACTTGCCGTTTATCAGAACCATTATGGCACCTTACATTGATATTCCCACAAAACCATTCTGGTTTTTTAATATCCATACATCCATAAAGTTGAATATTTTTCGTTGTTCAGGAACTTAACAAACATCCACACTATATTCACAGCGATTAAGAAATACCCAAATATATGTCGTAGAGCTACCAGCAAACCTAAAACCTGCAGAAGAACTAGAGATTTGCAATATTTTGCTTTTTTCACTGAGTACATATTCTGGGTTATATTTATATTAGACGTTATTTGAATCACAAAACATATACACTGATTTGAATAACAGCTGATTATCTCCTGATATTTTAAAACTAACCATATCGACAAGTGACACATAATTCTGTGGGATTCGTCAACACTTCGTCCCAGTGGAGCAAACTCTGCCAACTGTCGAAATAAACTTTATTAATTACAAGTCTTATTTTTGTTTTACTGTGCCTGCTTAGATATTCAAATACGGCCAGGAATTATTAGCGCCTGGCTATTTTATGCCTTCAATAACTCCTTATTTTAGATCTCTACTTATTTTGTTTTTTCCACGCATTCATGGTAGAAAAAAAAATATTTTATCGAATATCGATACCGTATACCGTGCAGCAGGCACGCCCATCACTACTTTGACAGATTGCAGAATGATGTCAAGGTGACAATCTTTATATGGCAGTTGTTTGTGTTTTTGTCTGAAATATTTAAGCTCGCCAACGTTCAAAAAATAAGTAGGGGGAAGATTTCTGTAGCATTTTTACGCAAAAAGCGCGACGAAACTGTAGAATGAATATGAATGAATATATGATAGTTGATGTGAAAAGTGTTGTTGCGTTTTATATTAATCGCAAATATGTATATGAAGTCAGTATGATGTTTCCTTTTATAATAAAAATCTTTTTGTTTCAGAAGTTTCCAACCAAACCATCCATATCTTCAGACTGTAAGATGGATCGTTCTTGGTAAGTGCTAAACAATATGACATATCTGTCTCGATGATTTTATTACAATTAATTATTGGCCTAGGCTGCCGTACTTAAAATGCAGTAAAGTGTGAAAATTTAAGTATGAGAAAATTGAGTTCATAATTCTGGATATTTTCGAACTAATCATATAGTATTATTACGACACAACAAAAGTGAATGAATATTGCAAAGTTACATGACTTCATAGAGAGTCATTTAAATGTAATTTCCGATCATAAAGGTTGTCGCGGCCTAAAATAAATGACTTTCCGTCTTTAATGGTCGTAAATCAAAAAGCAGTTACATGTCAATTAATGCTTTTATACTCTGCAAAAATTAATGTATGGCCATGTTCCGTACTTTTCATAATCTATTTAGATGAATTACTGTTTTAAAGGATAATGCAGTTAAACAGAATGCTGTAATATAATTTATTCACATTGGAATTCACATAATTAGCTCAAAAGTAAATCTTTTAACATCTACTAATTCAATTTAATAATCATATAATTATATTTAATAATCACATTCAACAAAAATAATTATATAAATAAACTAAAAACAGCATTTATTATATTTTAAGTTAAACGACGAATGTTTTTCAAATATATTCTTTCTGAGCAAAAGTAATTATTTATACCGATAAATGCTTATTCACATATAATATAATTATTACAAAACAAAACTAACTGGATCATTCAAAGGATAAAAGCAGTATAGTTTGAAACCTACTAATTTTTCACTTTCATAAATTGATTTACTGCCTTTAAGATTAGGAAATGTAATTAAAATGAAATATTTGACAAAGTGAAAAACTATTTTTGTTAAATAAGGGATCAGTGATATATTTTGTAATTATAATCATAGAATTTTTTTTTTTTTTTTTTTTTTTTTTTGGCACTAGGACATTGCCCCATTAGCCAGAATCAAGTATTTATCTATTATATCATACAGACATATATAATTTAAGACGTGTAAAATGGCAATGACGTAGCAAGCAGATCCCCTCAGCTATCAGGGTATTGCAGGAAAGACATTTTGGTGGCACAGTCGTATTTGGGCGAAGGAGCAAGTACTTAACAAACAGTATGGAGAAAATGATTATTAAATTTCTTCTAATGCACACTCTCCACTCTGGATGAAAAACAAAAAAGTAAATATAGAAGAACTAAGAAAGTGTTATCAGGAGGGGGCGGGGGTTAAGCATTACACACAAATTTTCAGATGACATTAGTGTCTAAAGGATACCATAACTACATATTAAACCTATGCAACTCTAAGGGGGAGGAGAGAGGATGGGTCAGACAGGGACACACGTTCTTCTCGCCCAGGGACCCGTCAGGGCATTTTTCATTTTTCACATACAACAATTAGGCCACGGATATGAAGGATATATTTATACATAAAGGTACAAAAAACAGAGGATAACTAAAATACGATTGTTATATTTTGATGCCAGAATTTCTGATAAATTTAACAACGAGAATGATCACATCAGATCTACCTAGCGAAAATACATGAGATGTATTTAGGGGGGCAGATATGCCAGATTTCACCAAATCGGAGTAGAGTGCATTGCAGTGATCCAGGAATTTAGCGCAACCAAAGAAACAGTGATCCAAGTCACCATAAACTTCACAAACATCGCACAGTGCAGATGGGACCAAATTCAATCTTGCAAGGTGTGATGGAAAAACACCATGTCCTATTTTCGCACGGGTGATGCAAGAAATATATTTTCTGGGTATTTTGAAATTTTCGTGCCAGTATCCTCGTGGCAGGCTAGGGTGTATGAGGTTGTATCTTGTAGGATTAGTAAAACAGTATTCTATCCATTCACTGCGCCATCGCTTGAGCAAATTACCTTTAAGTATCACTCGATTGTCTTGCATGCTTAAGGGTATGTCCAGCTTAGTTCCAGATGTTATACTCATCTTTGCTAGATCGTCAGCTTTTTCGTTGTGTATTATCCCAGAGTGGGCCTTCACCCAAACTAGTGTAATCCTGAGGCCTCGTTGTTTTAGCTGACTTATTTTCCATCTTATGTTGAATAAGTGTATATTTTGCATATCGAAAGGACTGCCGTTTTTTAAACTACTGACAACAGAGAGGGAGTCCGAGAATATAGACGTGTTACCAAGATTGTGGTCCTCTACAAACTGTAGGGCCTGGAATATAGCAATAGCTTCTGCAGAAAAAATCGTGAATTCATTTGGTAGTTTAAACATGGAAAAAATATCTATTGAAGGAATATAATGAGCGCATCCCGTTCCTGACTCCGACTTCGATGCATCGGTGTAAATGAATACATCACCTGCTAATTTACTCTGCACTTCTCGAAGTAGGTTCTGAATGTGGTGTGGTTGTTGCTTGTAAGCTGGTACTCTAACATCAAATCCTGATAGTAAATGAAAGTAACTTATATCTTGGATCAATCGTTGGCTATGAGAGGTTAGTTGTATTCTGTTGGCATATTGTATGGCACTGCATAGAGGCGGAGAGTTTCTTTTGGTCCAATATTTGCATGTCAAGTCCATGGTGTTTAGACGATGAATTTTGCTGAGTAAGTGGCTGTCCGCGTGTTGTACCTTAAGTAGAAATCTGCTAGATAACATTTGCCTTCGAAGATGTAAAGGAGGCTCCTGTGCTTCTGCTCGCAAAGGTCCGACTGGTGACGATTGCATTGCTCCAAGACATTTCCTGAGAAATTTATTCTGAGTTATATCTAGCACATGAAGGAGATTTTTACTGGCAGAGCCATAGAATATGCTGCCATAATCAAGGATAGATCTAACATATGATCTGAAGAATAATATTGCGATCTTTTGATCGGAGCCCCACCATACCTTGCAGATCATCTGGAAAAAATTGAAGGCTTTCTCACATCTACTGACTACTTGTTCGATATACGGCTTCCATGTGAGCTTTTTGTCAAGGATTACGCCGAGATATTTGACAGAAGTTTCAACTTTGAAGGATAACCCTCCCAGTAGTATGTTCCTCTGTAATGATACATTGTGTCGTGAGAAAACGCAAAAGGATGATTTTTTCAACGATATGTCGAAACCATGTTCCATTAGCCACTGTTTGTAGTGTTCCATTGAAGAATTTAGCGTAGATACACATTGATTAAGTTGACGGTTCTCTATATATACACAAATATCGTCTGCATACTGGACCAGCTGACATGGGGTTTGCACATCATGTAAGTCTGCCGAAAAGATATTGAATAAAATTGGGCTTAAAACTGCGCCCTGTGGGATACCTTCCTGTACTAGTCGTGGTCCAATCTTTCCGCCACTGTCGTTGCGTAGAAAAATATTCCTATCACGGTATAGGTTTGTTACAGTAAAACTAAAGTGAGGTGGGATGCCAAATTTTTCCAGTTTGTTTCGAAGTATGTTTAAATTGATGTTGTCATATGCACCTGTAATGTCTATGAAGATGCCTGCTAAGTAGTTGTTTCGCGTGAAACACATCTGAATGTCGGTGACAATATTCGTAATAGCGTCTGCTGTTCCAACTCCTTTCTTGAAGGCATATTGGTTGTTAGGAAGTGGATGAGATCTAAACCACCATTCCAGGCGATTTTTGATCAATCTTTCAAAAGTCTTCATGACGCAGGATAAAAGAGATATCGGGCGATATGAGTCAGCGCAATTGGGATCCATGTTTGGCTTCAAAATTGGAACTATAACGATGTTTTTCCATAATTTCCATAATCATAGAAGAAATATGTAAAATTCAAAAAAGGCAGCAAAGTTTATTTACTACTTACCTAAGTACGGCAGTGGAGCGTCGCCAATGAAAAACTAGGTAAACCCACCATCCAGAATGTATTGTTTTTATACACAAAAGCACAATGATATGAATCGATAAAAAACGAACTCATCACACATTTATTTTTGTTATATTTTTGTTCGAAGGCTAGATTGATTATAGTAGGTAAAAATCGATGAGTGGTCATGAGTTTTCTCTGCGATGCGCCCCTTGGAGGAATGTTTCAGGACCTCTTGGGGATTCTTACGGAGCCCCGTTCGCACGCACGATTGAGGCCGAGCGAATGATGACACTGAGGGTGTTGCACTTGACATAAGTGTAGCATATCGCAATAATCGTCAAGTTACCACTCGCCTTACTCTATTTATTATCTAATTTGAAGTGGTGGCACTAGATCTGTCCATGAAATATCCTCCGTTGCTGAAATGAATATACGGGGGTGTCCGCAAAGTTGGGGTTTTCCTTTTCAGAATCAACTACCCTTGAAATAACAAAGGTAATGTGTAGTAAAACGAGGGCGACCAAGTAAAAAAAAAATAAAGGAAAAAGTACTCACTCTCCAGTTGACGAGAAGGGCTAAGTACGTCTCTGCCCGAAATCATACCGCTCCAACAGAAAATGAAATCAGCTGATGCGCTACCGAGCAGACGCCGGCGGTGGTGCAGACCACGAACAGAGGTAACAAATATGACCATCAGAAACCACATTGATTGTGTTACACTTAATGGCACATCTTCTAACAAGGAAGGTAAAATGTTGCGAAAAAACTCTAGGTATTGCATCCTGTCCAATCGATTTGGGAGAATAAATGGTCCAATGAGCATACCGTTCACCATGCCTGCCCAAACATTCACCGAAAATGTTTGTTGAAAATGTGCCCGACGGACAGCGTGCGGATTTTCTACTGACCAAACATGAGTGTTGCGAAAGTTATTCAACTCATTACGCGTGAACGTAGATTCGTCTGTCACCAATATGCACTTCAGAAAGTCCGGATTATTGTCATGTTGATGCAACAACCACTCACAAAACCGCACTCTTGCTGGAAAATCGTCAGGTTGAAGGGCTTGTACACGTTGGACGTGAAACGGATACAGCCCCTCTTCACGCAGCGTTTTCCACACTTTAGTTTTTGATACTTGCACTTCTCTAGCCACGTCTCTAGTGCTTGTTGTTTTTTGAAACGCAATCGATTATACGGGTTCGTTTACCTCTACACGCGTGACCGTAACCGTCGGTTGAAGGTTGCATACCGACCTGACACACTGACCCCGACCCAGTTCTGTCGTCGGGTTGAGCTAGTGTCCTAGTACCACTCGGGGATGTCGCGAGTCGCGGCTACAGGACGGTATTCAGATATTTTTGATGTTGCAGAGCCCTTTATCTCGGTTCCCTTGAGACATTGGTGTATATGGTACTAAGAAAAATTGCTTATGTTTTCAAGATCTACACGTCGTGTAAAGGAAAACCCCAACTTTGCGGACACCCTGTATTTGCTTTCGGTATCTGTAACGATGATATCACGAAAGCTTTCGGTCAGCTGTGGTATGCTGCCCTCTTTTGCAAACTTCCAGCCTATGGCCTCTTAGTGCAGCTATGGGTGGCTAATTTCGATTCTGGCCATCGTAATTGACGGGTTCTCTTCGTCATCCCACAATATCAACGTGGGTGTTCTCCAGGGATCGGTCTTGGTTCCAACATTATTCATATTGCATATCAACGACCTCCTGTCCTGTACGATCAATCCGATCCAAAGTTTCGCTCTAAGCACTCTGCATACAGAGATTCAGACTGCCAAGCCGATCTCTGCCGATGAGCGAGGGACAAGAAGACTAACAGCGAGTTCTCTCTGAAGAGAGTTCTAAAGGTTATCACTGGTTGAGGACGCAACAGTCTGGTGCAGTTTGCTTCCAAAACACAGTACTGTGCCTTTGCTAACAAGAAGCGCCGGGTTTGGATGTTTGGCCGAGTTTTACTGAAGGGCCGATCATTCCGGTAGCAGATCACAGAGAACTGGAACGCACACATTTCGTCAAATGTGGCAGGTGCTGAGAAAAAGCTCGACTATTTATTTAGGGCCGAAAAGTACTTTTCTCCTCATAACCTCCTCACTCTGTACAAAGTTCAGATGAGACCCAGCCTCGAGTACTACTCACATGTTTGGGGGTTTTGCCGCCCCGGCTATAATATGCATACTAGGTACTGTTTAGGGGAGGGCTGGCTGTGACAATCGGTAACGGACGGTTTCGGGACACTTTCGCACCGACGGACCGTCGACAATCTTTTACCGCTATATCAGCGAGCTCTCCTTCATTATGCCGCCACGCGATAAACCTACCAGACAGACTCGCCGGACTTTGGCCTTACATACAGAACTAGCCGGTACCCACCGCTCTTCTGTTCCTACGGATCTGCCTGAGGAGGTTCTTCCCAGTTTTACTAAACTTGGTCATTTCAAAAATCGGATTAACGATGTGCCTGTGACATCCCTATAGCAGTAGTGGTGCCCTGGTATTGAAGCTGCTTACACGACTGCTTCGGTATAAAAAAAGACAAACTGTTGTATGTAATTCTTGCACAGTGTTCTGGTAGCTGGTAGCCTTGAGAATACTTCGTATTCCAGCTGATGGAGAGCCCAACTAACAATTATCACTTCTATTACAGTTGCAAGAACGATTATACAGTCTTCCTTACACAGTATTGTATGCTGTAAGAACATTGGCAAAATGCTCTTAGAACAGCTATACAAGCGAAATGCGCACAGCTAATAGGACACTTCAGTCATTTAAGAGGTTGTATAAGGGCTGCAGGTAACAGTTATACAACAAAAGTGTAAACCTCTTGCAGCCGCTATAGAACATTTGCGTCGGTGCAAGATTCAGTTTTTGTCAACTATACATCTATTCTGTTACATGATTCTACTTTATTGCAACCAAAATATTTCTTATGTATTGTATAGGCGATAACTAACACATCACAGTCATGTTGTTTACTTCCATATCGGCCATTGTGACTTTCATACACAGGTATATGATAAACTTCTAGACGGTGATATAGGGCTATTGAATTACCTGCGTAGCAAATTTTATTGTATATGTATCGTGCAAAGTAGTTACGCAATTTGTACGGGGTTCGTATTTTAACAATGATCAAAAGTATGTTTAGATTTTGAAGATGAAAAACTGAACTTATGTGCGTTAAATGAAACATAATTAATTAATTTTCAATAGAGGAATATATTTTTACCCAATATGGCGGGTGGTTATGTATAATCATGGCATCGTGCCTGTTGTCTTTGGTTTATTAGAATATTTTGGTGTTGTCTGCAAGTGTTATACAACAATTTGACAAATCTCTAAAATGAAATAAGGACAGAGTCGAATGATTTACCCAGAATTTCTACCAGATCTATATCTCCTGTTTGAACAGTTGATAAAACCTTTTAAACCAATATGCATGTGTTAAAATATTGGTTATGGCATTTTAAGTAAAAAGATGACAGCCGAAAGTTAGGTTATGGTGAAGTTGTATACCAGCATATTTAGCAACAAATGTCTGCCGAGCACAGCAATTTTGTACTATAAAAGTTGAAATATTGTTGCAGATGTACAGCCTTTAACAGTTCCTAAACGACAGTTGTATAAGTGCTTCCATTGGGAGAAATTTGTTTTCTAAAGTAGTAAATGTGCACACCAAAACAACAACGCTCGGCTTTGTTGTATAAACGTTACTATGGATGGCACAACACAATTATTTTCACTACCGCGCAAATATGCCGTATAAAATAGTTGTATAAACGTTTATGCAACCGTTCAAAATTTGTTCTATAAAGTGTTGTAACACTATGCTATAAGAATATTTTAATCACCTCATTTTAGAGCAAATATGCTGCAGAAAGCAAATTTGCATTCCACACAACGTTAAGCCAGTATTTTGGTGTTCAGGCAACAACAATAGAGAGCTTTTAAGGCTGAACAGTTCTTTTACCAAAAGCTTGTAGCATTGCTTTGATAGTTGGGAGATTGCCTTTTTAATTGCATCTACACGCTTATAGCAGAGGCGTAGGAGCCTTCTGTACCTTCGGCTTATGAGCCGTAGGTGCATCAAGCTTTGGCGAACTATTTGTAGATCGCAGTTTGAATATTTTCCTCTCAGTTTGACTAGCCTTTACATTAGCTACCTGTTCGATGAAATTCAAATTCACCCCTAAGAGCACTTCCTCACCGAGACGCGCAACGTCGCCAGCAGCCGTAGCCAAACTAACCTATTGAAATGTACAGTGAGGTTCAAATTTGGCTGGCGGGCTTGAGTCCAGTGTGTATGAGAGAAAAGCTCGAGAAGTGTGTATAAGCTCACATGTTAGAGAGAGATAGAAGCCGGCTTAATAGCGAAGCTCATCACTACGTTGCCTAGTAACGCTGACGCGGCAATCTGCCGCGTTGCCATACACACACGCATGGCAACATACAACGGCCAGCGAGATCTCCTGACTCGCATTTACGGTTACCCCCATGCAAGGACTACCTCTTTGGAGGAGTTAAGGCTGAAAATAATAGAAGCATGTCATTCGGTGACACCTACCATTCTAGAAAATGTTCGCACATGCTTTTACAATAGGTTAGGTTACTGTCAAACCCAAGAAGGAGATCTGTTCGAACATTTAATTTAATATTTTGATTAAATTGTTTATTTATTCCAATTTTTATGTAACTTATTTTTTTAATTTCCCTTAGAATTATCTTTGATTTCAACCGATGGTGATAAAATCAATTGTTACATTTTGTGACAGCGCTGCGGTAGGAAAATGTAACCAATTATGTAACTCAATTCAAAGTGTCGCCATTTCGAAGCAGGAATGCTAGATGGGTACTGCCGAGAATCACTCAACTATGATCATGGAGGTGGAAACCTTGCCTTGGAATGTACAAGATGCGGTGTTGTCATGCAGAATTTGTGGTTATCCTGAGCTTTGATTTCGACCTAACATGGAGTAACGTTAGGATCGATCCGGAACCGATCCTAAACAGATTCTAAACAATTCACAATTCAAAAATGTGTACGCTGAAAATCAAACCATTATTTGGGCGTAAAAAATAAACTATCGCATATTTTCAACATGCATCTTAATTCGAGGAACTGGTGTAACCTAGTGGCAACGCCGCAGATTTCCGCGTCAGCGTTGCTAGGCGTCGTGGTGTTGAGCTTCGCTGTCCAGCCTCTAATACACATTGAACTCGAGCTCGTTTGACAAACTCACTAACATACTTTCATACAAAGGCAAAGGTCTTACGGACGGCCTTGATAGACAACGACGAAACGGAGGTGTCTCAGTGAGGGAGGCTCCCAATACTCTGCTATGCCTTCTCATCTGAGTTGCCCTGCATCTCAACTGTCACTCGATCTATAGACCAAAGCTAAAGCTTTTTGTCATTCATGATTTTGACCGAAAAAAGATCTCTTCAGGATTGGATAAAAATGTCGCTCAAAGAAGATTTTTTTACACCAAAGCAGCCGAGCAGGCAGAAGCCTAAATACCATGGCACCGCGGTTGCTTTAAGGATCTCAAATAAACTTTGTTAATCCAATTTTCCTACTGGCTAATGTTATTACAATTGGGAAAAGCCTTCTCTTGTAGATTGTTCCACAATCTCGGCATACTAGGGACCAAGGAGCGGTCGTATCGGTCAGTTCTGGATGTACGAAGTTTAACTCCGTTACTATGTGAGGCCGAAGTTAGACAGGTCTGTCTAGCAGGCACAGCGCAGCGGCATCATGGGGGAGAGCTCTGAGGAGCAAAGCCCATTGGTGTAGCTGTAAAAGAGAGCTAGATATTACTTTTTTATTGAGTTTTCTTTACCGTCGAAAATCCATGTTTGAACTTTAAATCCTACACCAAGTCTTCTTCTGGTAGTGTTTTCGATTTTTTTACACCTTATCAGCAGCGCAGCCAGAAGCCTAAATGCCAGGGCACCGCGGCTGCTATGAGGACCTTAAAGAAACTTTGTTAATCCGATTTTTCAACTGCTTAAGGTTAGTACAACTGGGAAAAGCCTCCTCATGTAGATGGTTATACAATCTCGATACTCTAGGGACAAAGGAGCGGTCGTATCGGCCAGTTCTGGAAGTACGAGGCTCGATATGGGACGCTGAAGTAAGGCAGGCAGATCATACGGCGGCATCATTGGGAAGAGCAAAGCCGGTGCGAAGGGGTCCCGAGACTGTCCGTTAGAGAAGAGTCATCGATCAGTGAGACAGCCCTCCTCTGAATAGCACCCCAAACATGTGAGCAATACTTGAGGCTAGGTGTTATCTGGGCCTTATCAGAGTGACGGGGTATGTGGAGAAAATTACTTCTTAGCCCTAAACAAATAGCCTAGCTTTTTCCCTCTATTGATGAGATGTGTTCGTGCCAGATCAAAACCTGGGTCATCTGGACTCCGACCAGCCGAAATGAACGGCTATTTCTGAACTCGGCCATCCATCGAAACCGGATGAGCCCTAGTTTGCTTCTTGTTCGTCAAGGTACAATACTGTCATTTTGAAGTATCAAAGTGTACAAGTTTGTTGCGTCGCCAAGCAGCGATAATCTCCAGGTATCTCGTCAGAGAGGAATTCGCTGTTAGTCTTGTTTTCTCTAGCTCACCGGGAGTAGTAAAAAAACTACTCCATGTACCAAGGCGTTCTGCTCTTACTATAGCCTGACCTTAAACAATAAGAATGAAGACATTCGGGATTGAAAAAGTATATCTGTACCTCAGAGCTAGACTAGTTCCAAGTAAGTAGTTTTGAGAGGTAATTGCGTTTGAAATATTTTTCTTGTACTGTATGCGACTTACTAGCATTTTGTGCTATCTTATTATTTATAAAGTTCTTCCTTATTATTAGGTGGTGGACGCTGCAAATAGTATCGAACTATTTTTGGCAAAAATGAACTTAACCTATTTTGGTTTTGAGGTAAAGATATGCGTATCAGCTACTCACGTGAAATATATATGGCACTACTGCTCGTGCAACCGATTTCCGAACCTCTAACGCTTCCGCGTGTGGTACTAACCCGCCAAACCGTTGCGGAATCGTACCTACTACAAATTTGTGTTGAAAAAAGCGGTCGTCGTTTCCAGACGCCTTCGAACTACTGGGAGTGGCGTCGCCGTAAGATGTCGTCATCTTCGAACGCCCGACTAACGCAGTTCTACACCGTCGAGGTGGGCGACACCAAGTTCACCATACTGAAGCGGTACCAAAACCTGAAACCGATCGGTAGCGGAGCACAAGGCATCGTCTGGTAAGTTCCGTTAAGATTTTTAAAAGCTTCTTACTAGAAAAAATCTACTATCTACTGTCAAAGTCAAACAGCCACCTTATTCGATAAGGATTTAAATTACTGAAAGCCTAGTCCTGATGCTTCGCATAACACATCACATATCTGTCATATACGAGTATCTATTATAGTAGGTGTTCCGATCAATTCTGCCAGTCTTAATAACAACAGGTTTCGACAGGCCAGCGCATATTTATTTGAGGGATATCTGGCACATGCTTTGTATCACTATTTACAGAGAAATCCATATATGTTATCGTGATGTGTAATGAGAGAGAAGCGCGAGACTCGTGCAATGCCTATGTTAAAAAGAGATAGAAGCAGCACGTAGCCTAGCAACCCGAGTGACGAGGTCAAGAACGCAGCTGCGGCTTGCGGTGCACTTTTTCTAACATACCAGTACGTATTACACGCTTCTCGCGATTCTCTCTCGTACACATTACCTCGTCAGCGATATTTGGATTTCTCTATATATACTAAGTGACATATAAATCCGAACACCCAGTTTAAATGGTTTTATTTTAATAAAATTTTTTATAAGTACTTAATGAAGCATAATAAGTAAATGATAAAAATTTCAAAATGATTGCACTGCTTTAAAGCCCTTTGACCTTTAATAATGTGTGGATGCACCCTGATGCACGCTTCTGATCAGGTGGTCAATGTCCTCCTGTGGTATCTCATTCCAGGCAACCACCAACTCCTCTCGAAGTGCTTCTAGAGTCTGAGGAGGACGTTGCAAATTGAGCAATCTCCTACCCATCATATCCCACACGTGCTTAATTGGGGATAAGTCGGGAGATGTTGGTGGCCATGGTAACAATGTGACATCATTATGTTGAAAGAAGTCTTTTGTGACTCTTGCAACATGTGGTCGGGCATTATCTTGTTGGAAAGTTGGATCTGCCAGGGTGTCAAGATAGGGCAAAAGATGGGGTTCTAGAACTTCGTGTTACCTCTGATGAAGATTAAAGGTGACCTGGAACCATAAGCTATAGCACCCCAAACCATAACTCCAACAGTGTGATGAACATGTCTTTCAACAAAAAACTATGGATTCCTCCTTTCACCACGTCGCCTTCCAACCCGGGCACGACCATCGTGCATGCCTAAACAAAATCGAGACTCGTCACTAAAGACAATACTGTTCCATTCCTGATCCCAGAGTGACCGTTGTCTGCACCACTCAAGGCGATTACGTCGGTGTTCTCAAGTTTAAGGGAGGTCCCAGTGTGGCCGGTATGAAAACAAGCCAAAACTTCTCATTCGTCGGTAAACACTTCGCATGCCAATAGGTCTTCCGTGTTCTGCAAACCATTCATTTGCAATGGACCTGGTAGTAGAGAAACGGTCCCTTAAGGCCAATAATCTTAGGCGGCGATCTTCACGGTCTGTTGTTCTACGGCGGCGTCCAGTGCCCCTTGCTCTTTGCGTACGGCCTTCTGGAAGCCATGCCTGACAACACCTAACCACAGTGTCTACACTTCTTTGCACTCTAACTGCAATTGCCCGAAAAGAAAGTCCAGCTTCCCGAAATCCCACTATACGGCTCCTATCAAACTCACTAAGTTGACGAAATCGTACAGGTCTCCGTACTCTAGGCATCGTAACCGATCGTAAAGGATGTCAAGAACCAAAATCCGCCAACGTTGATTCTTTACTGCGGCTGAAATATTCATTTTTAGAGCGTTATTGATTTAAAAAAAGCAGTATAAAAACAGGAATGTCCAACTGATAAGGCTGAAAAATTTTTCACTTGTTATTTACAGTAAGATAAATACATCCACCAACTTTTATTAAAATAAAACCATTTAAACTGGGTGTTCGGATTTATATGTCACTTGGTATATGTTGATCTTGCAAATGAACTTTAACGAAAACGATTCGTGTTAAAATTTAGACAGACGCGTTAATGTGTCTATAGTATATCTACTGAACAAACATGTCAATTCGCCACTGTATTTTGTTCAGATAGAGAATATGTATGATTTCTTTTGTATTTCCTGTCAACTATTTACGTTAATATAAAGCCGCGTACAGACCCAAAATCCAACTCCGAGCAAAAGAATGCAAACACATGTGACGTTGGCGTTTGTATCAGGTAACCAAATAAGTTCGTGCGGTTTTTAGTAGAAAAACATAACATTTTCATTGCGACACAATAAGACACTATTTATTCGTCGAACTAATTACCATCACATTCAATGACCTTGGATTTGGAGTAAAAAAAATGGCGAACTGCATGTATTACACCATCTCGAGTTGTGAACTGTCGGTGCCTCATACAGTGGTCAAGAGACAAAAAAGGTGATAATTACTAAGCAAAATGTCGAGAGAATATGGCGGGTGCGGTAACGTTTCCCAGCCGAGTTCAGAAATTCTTTCTCGGTTCATTTTTGCGGTATGAGGCTTGACGTTATCCTGCAAGAATATTACTGTCTTCCGATTGATAAAAAAAGGCTGTTTCTGGATGAGTGCTGCTTGTACTCGTTGAAGCTGCTCACAATACAAGTTAGCAGTGATGGTTTGAACCCTTTCCAAAACTCATAATGGAAAATTCCAGTTGCCGTCCACCAAACAAACAGCAAAACCTTGTTTGGGTGCAAGGAAGCCTTAGGCGTGTGTGGTACCGAATCAGTAGGCGACAACCAATGATACGAACGCTTAGAAATCGAATACAAATCGTAAGACGACTTAATTTGTTATCATTTTCAGTTCATGTGGGACCCATTTGCTTAACTTCCACGTCTTTCTTAGCTGATGAAGATGCAAACGAATAGTTTCAGGACTTACTCTGAACATTTCTGCAAGTTCTTGGCACGTTGTCCTGGTAGTTGCGTCCACAACCTGTCGAAGATCCACGTTGTTCATGATTTTTGGTCGCCCTGAGCGCGGTTCACCGCTCGAACTGAGATCTCCCGAAGAAAATTTTTTGGACCACTTCTGTGCCGTTCGATCACTAACGGCATCATCTCCGAATGCGGTACACATTTTTCGCGCCGCCGCTTGTACCAAGTTTGTACACATACAGTAAACAACTTCGATTTACTGTTTTATTCGTCGCCATTTTCAATGATTAAAACTAGATATGTAACAATTTCCAGCAACTTTTTATGTGTGTGAGAAAAGAAGGATTCATACTAAAGTGTTAACAACCAATCGCTATTGAATGCGCTCGTCTACACCTAAATTTAGTTTCGAGTTGGATCGCGTTGGGTCAAGTTCGGTGCTAATGTCGAGCGTCGAGTCTCCTCTTATCGAATGCAGACAAACGACTAAGTAGTAAAAGCGCAACAAATCCTGTTCAGACCAAATCAAAGCTCCCTTTGATGTACCGTTCAAGGAGCGAACGTAATAGAATGCCAACGCCGGCCTTGGAAACAGTTGGCTTATGTTGGCTCGCGCCAAACACACCGATTCGGACACCTCCGAATCTGTAACCACATAATTACGTTAATATAAAACTGTAATACCAAACACGTTGATTTGAACGCTTCATTTTTCGCAGTGATGTCATAGCTCATTTTTTGTCATTTGATTGTCTTTTTGGTTGGGTTACTGTCGAATCTTTGATATAACGGGTGATTTTTTAAGAGGTAAAGGATTTGATTTTCAAAGAAAACACAAAAAATTTGAAAAAACGATTAAATCTTTATTTGAGTCGATAGAACGGTCGATATAATTTAATGTTTAAAGATTATTTCATGTAAATGTTGGCCGCGGCTCCGCGCAAGGTCCAATTTTGGCACACTCTCTTCAACATATCGGCCGGTATCTCACGAATAAATGCTTCAATATTGGCTTCCAGTGCGTCAGTCGTTGCTGGTTTATCCCTGTAGACATTAGCCTTAACATGGCCCCACAAGAAATAGTCCAACGGCGTTAAATCACACAAGCTAGGCGGCCAATTGACGGGCCCCAAACGTGAGATAAACTGTTCACCGAACTTGCCTCTCAATAGGGCCATTGTTTCGTGTGCGGTGTGACATGTGGCACCGTCTTGTTGAAACCACATGTCAGCCAAGTGCAGCTCTTCCATTTTGTGCAAAAAAAAGTTTGTTATCATCGCACGGTAGGGCTCGCCATTCACAGTTACGTTCCGGCCATTGTCGTCTTTGAAGAAGTACGGCCCGATGATGCCACCGGCCCATAATCCACACCAAACAGTGATTTTTTCGGGATGCATTGGTAGCTCTTGCAATGCTTCTGGCTGGTCTTCACTCCAGATGCGGCAATTTTGCTTGTTAACGTATCCATTCAAAAAGAAATGAGCTTCGTCGCTGAGCACAATTTTTCGATAAAAATGTGGAACTTCCTCCAACTTTGCCAGCGCCCATTCGCTAAATGGAAAACGTTGTGGGAGGTCGTGTGGCTTCAATTCTTGCACCAGCTGTATCTTATAAGGTTTTACACCCAAATCCTGTCGCAAAATTTTCCACGTAGTGGAGTAACAGAGGCCCAATTGCTGCGAACGGCGGCGAATCGACATTTCACGGTCATCCCTAACACTGGCGGATACAGCCGCAATATTTTCTTCAGTCCTCACTTTACGTCTGCGTGTTGGTGGTTTAATGTCCAAGAATGTAAACTGGATTCGAAATTTAGTCACAAGCTACCGAATAGCTCCCTCAGTAGGCCGATCAAATTGTCCATAAATTGGAAGCAGTGCTCGATGCACTCTCTTAACCGAGCATGAATTTTGATAGTAAAATTCAATAATTTGCAAGCGTTTTTCGTTCGTAAGTCGATTCATGGTTAAATTATAGACCAAACTGAACCAGTTCGACAATGACACAAGACACGATTCACGCGTCATCTGTCAAAAACAGTGTTGCCAAAAAGATACTAGCAAAAAATCACCCATTATCATCTATTTATAAGTATTTATAGGTTATGTTTATTACAACAAATTATTGAAAAGCTGGAAACATCAAACTGACAGGTTGACAATCAATGATAGTGAGAACAAATGCCTGCCATTTAAATCGGACTAACCAATCAATAAAGGGATGACAAGTACGTAAATGGTGACGTCACGCCAATAGTGTTGCGTTTCTACATTTTTAATTCACCGCGTATTTTTTCATTTTTACTTTCCGCGCCTACTGGCGGGAAAGTATTGTAATCACAAAAACTTTCGAAAGTAAAATATGTTTTTTAGATGTTTTATGACCTCCACATTACGAAAAACCATGAAACTCATTTCCGTCGACTTTCTGCCTCTCCGTCGGTCGGTCTGTCTGTCGGTCTGTCCGCTAATTTTATAACCGCTCATAACTCGAGAAGTAGCGCTTGGATTTTGGCGAAATCTTTACTCAATGTTACAACTAGTGAAATAAATCAGAGGCTTTGCAGTTTTTGAAAATCGGCCAAAAAAGCCTAAAACGAAAAAAATAAAAATTGCTCACACTTCTTTTTTGACGTTTCAGATGATCCTGATTATTTTTGAAAAAACTTTAGAGGTAAAAAAAAACGGGGGTGGGAGTTGCAAGGTGGTGGGAACGATTTATCTCAATCTTTGAAGCTGGTACATTTATGCGCTCCCAACATTGCTAATTCTACCCACTTATTAGACATATTCCACACATGATAGATTTCTATGAACACTAGCCCTGAAAACTATTGTCGGGAAACGAATCTCGTACCTATCGGCCGCGGCTGCTGCTGGCGTCGTGCGCCGACCGTGATGAGTGTTCTGGTATGACATCACACGTATTTCTTAGCTACCACGGTGCCACGGCTGCCAAGAGTTAGGTATCGGGGAGAGACGACGTTTCCAGATGAACTACCGGTACCTATGGATTAATTGTATGGACCTGTTTGGCTGGCTTTTTTCTCAGCTACTCGTCTAGTTTGTGCTGAACATATTCCTTTATGTACTGATAAGGGCGTTGCGTGGGAAGAGCAGAGTCAACCTACTTGATGCCGTTTTTTATTAATTCTCGCAATTTTATAGCGCTCAACTATAAAATAAGGTTGAATGCGCTATTATGTCAATATCGACTGTAAATCAGAATATCAGGCCATATTTGAATCATACAGGTGCATATACCCTAGTCCAACAAAAAAGAAATGCTACGGCAGGATGTAGAACTTTAGTAAAATTGTTTATTGACAATGAAACTTCTGACAGAGGATGCTCCGAAAAACTTCAAACTTGTGACTTCGAAGTGTCTGATAACACACTCTGCGGGCGACCTTCTTTGACCGACAAAGATAAAGCAAAATCGTTTTTAGACTGCATCTGGGAGGCTGGAGTCTGTTAAACAATTTTGGACCATATTAGAACATTGGGATTATTATTGGAAAGGGAATTTTAATGGTAGATTATATCCGCTTGCACATAGCAGAATCGACAATCTCCTGCATTGGCTCAAAACAAGGGATGGAAATTGGATCACTTATGTAAATCTCGTACGGCAAAGAGCATATTGTGAACCAGGAAAACCGGCTTCCTCCACGTATAAACCGAATTTGTGCCTCAGCGAGGAAGCGCTCTTTATAAAGTGGAACATTTGAGAACCGATATATTGATACACCGAATGAAAAGCTAAATTCGGAGAGGCATTGTCAGCATTTATATAAATTTAGGTCAAGAAAATGTACGGCGATGTAGAACGAACAATATGCTACTGCTCCGAAGACCCGTCATAAGGTCTCAGAGCTAGGCCGGGAAATTTAATCATATCCCTCAATTTCACCAGACCTGACACCCTATTTTTGCCGTGACAAGATTTTCTTCAGAGAAAAAAAAAGAAAGCGATATCGAACAAGGGCTGGATCAATTTTTAGTACCTAGGGTTAAGTATTTTTTTAAAAATTGAAAATGCATCACGTTGGAAAGAGGTTATAAATAAGATTTCCTAGCATTTTAAAAAGTCATAAATATTGCACATTATATTACTCGATAAAGTTTGTACAACAAGGCATTTTGTTTTAACCTTAAAACGGATAGAACTTGCTGACCACCTTTTGGGTCTGATCTAGACGAGCCGTTTTCAGATAAAAATTTCATTTGCAAGGCACTCTTCTTTTACGCATCTCCATCTTTATCCGTATACAGGGTGAATTTTTAGTGTGGGCTTCGTTACGCATGTTACTTAAAAAATAATTACCCAAAATAATGCTGGTTACTTGGAAAATATTTATTCATAACTACATAGATTTTTTATACGGAAAGCCCTGTATCTTATTGCTGATTTGGATAAGCACTTTCAAACGAACAACACTATATGACATACTATAGTTTTTTACACCCAGCTTTGCGCACTTCCTCAACTGTTGTATCCAGGTACTGAATTTTTCGCTAGACAAATTTCATGACCTCATATTTTCCCCCTATTTACTCATTTTTCAGTTTTTTAATAGTTTATACAGGGTGTTAAAGATTGCTAAATGAACCATTCCGCAAAATATTCAAATGGAACACCCTGTATATTTTCACACTCCATTATGTGTATGACTGGTTTCTGAGTTACAGCTCACCCTTTTCTAAATCCTTTATCAAGTATATGAAAAATACTACATTTCAAAATAAAAAGAACAGTATTTACTTTGTTACAGCAGATCGTTAGAATTGGTGTACGAGTATTTTCATTGTAAATTAAATCTGCCCATCCTAATGAAGTAAAGCTGAAAAATCAGAAAGGGGTCCTTGTGTTTTCAGTAACTCAAAAACCAGTTGTACAAATCTCTATAAACCTTATATCAGGTAAAGCTTGTGAAAAAGGAAATCAAATAATATTAAAATATACAGGGCGTTCAATTCCAAAATTTTGAGAAATATTTCATTTTGTGTTCTTGACCACCCTGTATCTAGTATTCATAAAACTGTAAGCAAGTATACATGGAGAAAATGTGGGATCATAAAATTTTTCTGCCCAAAAAAATCAGTACTCGAACTACAATAGTTGCGGAGGCGCGAGTTGAGGAAGTTGAGTGTTTTTTTTCGTTAGATTGTACAGAAAACAAATCCAGAACAAAACGACATAGTATTTTATATCAAATTGCTTCGTTACAAATGAACTATCCTAATCTGCTATAACATTTAGGGCATTCCATTTAAAGAAAGTATTTTTTAGTCACTACGTAGTTACGAGTCACCCTGTAGAGACAAACATATTTTTTAAGTCACAAGCATACTGTTGACTACAATTTTTGAATTCAACTTGTTTTGGATACCATGCCTTAGAACAGAGTTATCGGCAGAGTCCACACTAATAACTCACCCTTTATGTAATGACTTCCTAAAAAAAAACTCTTTAAATTGTGTTGTTATTCAGTGGCTCTGTAATTTTCATCAGGGCTTATTTTTTGCGAAATAGACCATAATGCAATGAAACGGGTCCTAACCTGTCACCTGAGAAACGTGTAACCACAAATGGAAATGAGCGCCAAATGTTCGCCAATAGCGTGGTAACTCGTAACATTTACTATATAGTTATAATTAAATGCTTCTCTTAACGAGCATTTTACGGACTACGGATTTTGATTCTCACCCGAATCAGGGGCTGCTTGTTTGACTTTAATAGTAGAGGCTTTCAGCTGAATATTTGACGAGCTATGCTAAAAGCATATTCACCAGTCTTTGATGCACTATTTGCTTGAAACATTTTATCATTTCTAGGGGGGTAGACTTTAGGGTTTGATTCCACACAATTTCATGACAACTTGGATGTTGGATGCAACAAAAAATATTTGTTTTTTACAGGATATAAGCAATAATTAAACTAAAGTTATTTTTCATTTACCCTTAAGTATTAGTTATATACTGAAGGGATTATTGAAATTGTACCGGAAGGCAAATGGGGAGGGAAAACTTGTTCTCTTTTCAAGACTTCCACACTTTGTTGCTTAAAAATGTTGAAAACGTATACAAGTGAATCTATTGGTAATCAAACTTCGGATAGGAGTAATTTTTTTCCAATTGTTCCAGTAACCAAGTTTAAAGTTTAAATCTGTTTCAAACGAATAGTACAGAGTACTACACAGCAAAAGCATATTTGCAAGATTTTTCATGATTAGAAAATCAATACAAGAGAAAAATGAAGTATTTTGGAATGCAACTTTTATTAATGTTTTATTGGTGTATAATTACCAAAACAAAAAAAAAATCACATAAAATAATTTAAACGTGTTTGATGTAGATAATATAAATCAAACTGTTTATCATCCTCCTCATCCTGCCCTTTCACCAAAAATGCCAGAGCATGCCTCTATATATTGATTATTAGATATTCATTGAAAGGGTTGAAAAATGTATGTATTTTGACCAGAAGTAGTTATTGAGTGACATTCTATATGTTGAAACGCATGAACGTCGAGTAGGTCAGTATTAAGATGACAATATTTTTTATTTTTTTTACTGTAAATTAGCATGATTTGGGTAGATATATGTTCATAGTTAGCCCCGTTTTTTCGGTCGCTGGTTAACTTTCACGTTTGGTAACTATAACTTGTAAGTTAACTTTTAGTTGTCCTTGAATTTACCTTTCAAGCTGTACTCAACTAACCCGTTCTAGCTGATCTGACCACGTCGCTACTACGTCTGAACTAACGCGTTCTGTGCGTTTTGTGACGCCTGACATTTGTGTAACTACAACGTTCTAGATAACCAGTAGATGGACTTCTGGGTAAAGTTGTACAAACCTGCCATTGACAAACACGTTATGAACGTTGACTTTTGGTTAACTGTAAAATCTTAGTTAACCTGTAATCGCGAAATAACTGCGACTTGACTGCTAACCAGAAATTGCCTGTCGAAAAGCGTTTTTCAATGTCAAGTTTGTTCTAAAGCGGTAGTTAACCAGAGGAGCATTTAAGGAATAACTATAAAGCAGTGGTTAAACCGCACTGCCTAACCTAATACCGAACATCACGAAATGCACAGAACCAGATAATTCAGGTTTAAAAGCTGCATTGCCGCATCAACAGCTTATGAATAGTTAATCAGAAGTAGAAAAATGACATCTGATAGTTAACTTCTAAGGCCCGGTTTTTGAATCACAGGAAGTTAAACAGTGAAATGCAAAGGTGTGTATGCACAGCAGTGTCTAACCGGTTGTAATTGACGTGAGTTGTCACGATTGACACGAAACACGAATATCAAGCGTCACAACATAACAGAACACGTAGAAGCGGTGTTGCCTCATCAATGATTACAAGTTAGTTAATCAGAACTTGAAAAACGAACCTTGGGGCAACGCATAGTTAAGTTCAAAGGCCCGGTTTTTCAGTCCCAAGTTAATTCCGACTTTGGTCTTAACTTATAGTTTTCCAATATCATGTTTATAGAAAGACGGTGGTTAAATAGCAACACCTGACGTTTGTTGACACTGACAGTTCATATAAATTTATCGATAAATATGTAAACTAAAGCTGAGTACAACGGAGTACAACGTGATTCCGCATAACAGTGACGATGAGGTAAGGACTAAAGTGATCCGCCAATTACTTTGACGAATTTGACGACTTTTCTTGCAAAGTCTGTTTCTCACTGACCAATGATCCTAACACCATTTCTTTATCACTTGAGAAATATAAGCTTTTTTTGATTTTTTCTTTCTTCGTGCTAAATTTTAGTAACAGGAATAGCCATATTTTTTTCTCCGCTGCTGAAGACCTTTTTTTGGATCATGGATTATCGAAGTTTTGCTAAAGACGTACCTTGTGACCTATGTAAGGTTTATTAGACATTGCATTTACCACCATCTGTATCACCTATCTACAATCCCGTATGTTGAGTCTACTACTAAACATTTGTACAAGCAATGTTTGTAAAACCTGACCTTACTATTTTATAAAATTTCATTAAAAAAAAGACGTGTGTCTTGTATGACACGTATGACGGTACGACACAAGATACAGACACACGATGTCTGAGAACCACATAACAGAAAATACGAAAATCGAGTTAAGTCGATTTTATTACTTAAAAAAGGTTGCCGTTCAATATCATGAAATGGCATAAGTCAGTTTCTAATACCTTCAGAGTTGTAGAAAAATAATATTAAACTTATCTCATTTTTATAGGAAATTAAATTTCACGAAGGAGCTTGACTCAATTTACGCCAGTTTGTGAAATTATAAAACATACATATCATTTTACAGGGTATGGCTTATCGTATCTATCTTT